GCTTGCGCGACGTGTCTGCGCCGGCGGGGACACCGGTGGGTGTGCAGGGGACAGGGACACGGGGGACACGGCGATGCGCAGGGATGTGGGTACACACAGGGACATGAGAAAATGATGGGGGCACCATGGGGACGTGGGGATGTGCAGGGGGCACAGGGACATGGAAGGACACACAGGGATATGGGCACATGAAGGGACATGGGGACACCAAGGGACACCTTGGGCACACACGGGGATGCACAGGGGGCACAGGGACAGGGAAGGACACATGGGGATATGGGGACACGCAAGGATATGGGCACATGCAGGGACATGGGGACACCAAGGGACACCTTGGGGACACATGGGGATGTGCAGGGGGCACAGGGACAGGCAACGACATGTGGGGACATGGGTACACATGGGGATATGGGTACACATAGGGACATGGGGACACCTTGGGGACACTTGGAGATGTGCAAGAGGCACAGGGACATGCAAGGGCACACGGGGACACGCAGGGATATGGCACATGCAGGGACATGGGGACACACAGGGACACTGTGGGGATGTGGGAACCCATGGGGATACAGAGACATGTAGGGAACGGAAACTCCAGCGGGGGACTGGGAGCACAGGGATGTGCAGGGATGTGGGGACATACACGGACATGGGAACACATAGAGACAGCATGGTGCTGTGGGGACACCAGAGGGACGTGGGGACATGCAGGGATACAAGGACATGGGAACATGCGGGAATATGGGGACACCATGGGAACACCATGGGGACCCTCAGGGACACCGTGGGGACATGGGGCCACTGTGGGAACACCATGGGGACACGGGGACACACAGTGGGATACAGACACAGGTACATGCAGGGAGATGGGGACACTGCGGGGGGATACAGGGACAGGCAGGGATGCAGGTCCATGGGGACACACAGTGGGATACAGGGACAGGTACACGCAGGGACACGGGGATACAGGGACAGGTCTATGCAGGGACATGGGGATACAGGGACAGGTACACGCAGGGACACGGGGATACAGGGACAGGTACATGCAGGGACATGGGGACACTGCGGGGGGATACCGGGACAGGCAGGGATGCAGGGACATGGGGATACAGGGACAGGTACATGCAGGGACATGGGGACACTGCGGGGGGATACAGGGACAGGTACATGCAGGGACATGGGGACACACAGCGAGATACAGGGACAGGTCCATGCAGGGACATGGGGATACAGGGACAGGTACACGCAGGGACGTGGGGACACGCGGGGACACGGTGGGCGCCCGCGGGGACACTCACGGGGCACGGTGGTGCCGTAGCGCGCCTGGTCCGAGAGCAGCAGCTTGTTCTTGAGGCTGCGGCGCCCCACGCCCTGCGCCCCGATGAGCACCAGCGTTTTCCGCCGGAACGGCGGCATCCGCGCCACCTCCTCGTAGATGAGCAGCTCGTGGCGGTCAAACTCTGCCGGGCACCGTGTCACCCGCGGCCGTGTCCCCCGGGTGTCCCCTCACCTCCCGGTCCCCTCCCGCACGGCGGCTCACCGGCGTTCTTCGTCGTCACGTACATCATCCTCTTCTTCCTCTTGCTGCCCAGGCTGCCGCACAGGGCGCCTGAGAGGGCAGCGGGGGGCTGAGTCGCGGGGACATGGGGACACGGCCATGGGACATGGGGACATGTGGGGTACCGGCGGTGGGGGCCACCTCCGGGTCCCGCTTGACGAAGGCTTTGCGCTTCTCCTCCAGGAGCTGGCTGGGGACGAGGCCGGCGGTGCCACCCTCCACGTGGCGCGCCTGGGGGGACACCGCGGGCCACGTGGGGAAGAGGCCCCCTGGGGACACCCCTGTGGGCGGCACCTCTAGGGGACACCGTGTGGCACATGGTGACCCATTCCCCAGGGTCCCCCTGAAGATGGCACATGGTGACCCATCCCTCAAGGACCCCCTGAAGGTGGCACCCCTAGGGAACACAGTGTGGCATGGGCTGAGCCCAGCCCCCGTATGTGGCACACCTGGGGGACACAGTGTGGCAATAGGACACCATCTCCAAGAGACCTCCCCCGCCGGCATGAGGCACCTTGGGGACACAGCGTGGCACAGAGTGCCCCTAACCCCAAAGGACCACAGCACGTGGCACATCCAGGGCACACGCCATGGGGTGACCCCATGTCCCCCTCCAAGAGCATCACAGTGCAGGGCCCCAGGGACAGAGGGGACAAGGGGACACTCCCGTCACCTGCCACCAGTTGGGGTCATCCTGGTTGACGATCTGCAGCAGGTCCCCGGCGGCGAAGCGCAGCCCGGCCTCCTTGCAGGGGATGAGGCTGTCGGCGCTGGGGTCGTAGTCGAAGTGGCACTTGACGAAGACCTGGGGACACCGGCGCTGAGCGGGGCGCGTGGCCCCGGGGGGACGAGCAGGGGACGGCCATGTACACACACGTGCAGGTGGCCGCACACCCATGCGCTTGCACGCACACTGCTTGCAAGCCAGCATGTGCGCACGTGTGTGCACGCATGCATCCGCACTCCTTGCACACGTGCATGCACGCATTTGCACGCCCCTTGCATGCACACATTTGCATGCATGCACACCCGCTGCAGACACAGACATGTGTTCCTTGCACACATGCACATATATGAACACCCACTGCAGGCACAGACACGTGTGTTCCTTGCACGCATGCACACTCACTCGCCTGCTCCTTGCACTCTTGCATACACACACAAGTGCACACACACACACACCACCCTCCTTAGCATGAGCATGCACACATGTGGCCCTCACCGCACACTCATCACTTGCACACGCACGCATACAGCACACATGTGCACGCATGCACACCCTGCACAACACGCAAAGCACCCGCGAGCACCCACGCCATGCACATCAGCACCCGCCACCACGCGCCCGCGCGGCCACGGCCCCCATGCACGCGCGGGCCACTGCCAGGCACACGCAGGTGGCCCCCACGGCAGGGGCCAAGGCACACACGGGCCCCCAGCAAAGCC